CTTCACCCATGTGCCTGTGGGTGCTTTCCAGCTCCTGCCCAACCTCATCTCCCTCCACCTGAAGCACAATGCCATCCAGGAGCTGGCAGAGGGTGACCTGGCTGGGGCCAGGGGGCTGCGCTGGCTCTACCTCACCGGGAACGCCATTGGGCACATTGCCCCAGCTGCCCTGGCTCCTGCCAAGATGCTGGAGAAGCTGCACCTAGAGGGAAATCGCCTGGTGGAGGTGCCCACAGTGGCCCTACGGGGCCTGCCCGCCCTGAGTGAGCTGAAGCTGTCCCGAAACCCCATCAAGCGTGTGGAGGACGGCGCCTTCCTGCCAGTGGCCTCCAGCCTGCATCACCTCTACCTGGACAACATGGGCCTGGAGCAGGTATGTGTGGCTAGGGCTTCCCTAGGGGCACGAGCACCGCAGGCCACAGGCATAGATCCCATCCTGTTCCACCACCCAGGGCTGGTGGTCCCTATAGAGGCATCTGAACAGATGTCCCCAAATTCCCATGGCTTCAGGAGGTGCTCTGTAGCCTGGCCAGGAGCAGAGGCTTCCCTGGGCTCGGCTGGAACATTGTCTTGCTCCAACCTGTCCCTCAGCTTCCCCAGGACAGACTGTCCTTAAAGACATCCAGTTTCAGTGGGGTCCCGACTATTCCTCAAATCATCTCCTTCCCCCAGCCCTGGCCATATTTCTCCTGCTCTTACTATGAGCTGTCCTGAGGAACTCTACCACTACTATCTGGAATTCATCCTCTCAAGAAAGTGGTGTTAGCACCATTCTCATAAGGACCATCCACCTTTGACAGCACCCAGAGATCAACGGCCTCCTGTGTGTCACCTTCTTTCCAGGAAGACTGAACAGGGTCTAGTGAGTCCCAAAATGTGACCAAAACTGGTTAATTAACAGTGTGCTGCTGTTTAAAACAACTCATGATGCCACCAGGTTTAGGGCAGGCTCTCTCAGCCCCTCAAGCTGATTAGCAGTGGAGGGGCAGAGATTTGCTCCCCTGCCTCCACCAGGATGTCCCCTGACTCACCCACCCTTTGTTGCAGATTTCCCCTGGTGCCTTTGCTGGCCTCGGTCCCAAGATCAGAAGCCTCTACCTGGAAAGCAACAAAATGACCAACATCCCTGATATGCGCAACTTCACAGGGCTGGAGATCCTCAACCTGAGGGATGTGCCTTTCCACTGTGACTGCCAGCTCCTTCCCCTGCACAGGTGAGTGCCATGAGGAGGGCACAGCCCCAGGAGACACCCAGACCCTGCCATGCCAGAGGCACGAGCCCGTGGCACGCTGGCTATTTTGGGTCTTCTCCCACAGTACACTGGCCATTTTGTGTCTTCTGCCATGGTGTCTTCTGCCATTTTGTGTCTTCTGCCATGGAGATAGAGCATATGTCTGTGTTGCATGATGGAAGTAGCCTGGGCTTTCCTGGTGTAAGGAAAGCAGCCACAAGTTGGGGTGGACAGATACTTGGATATTCAAAGGTCACCTGGGTGAGGCCCTGAGCCACCTGGCCTGGCTTTGAAGTGACCCACGCCCAACTCAAGGGAGTTTCACCTCTCCCTTCGCCCTGTCCTGCTCCTTTCCCTAATCTCCTGTCATGTTTCCAGGTGGATTGACAAACTCAACCTTCACGTAGGGGCCACCTGTGGGTCCCCTGCAGAAGCCCGGGGGCTGAAGGTGAAGCTTTCCATCACTTTCCAAACCTGCCCTGGCTGGGGCCAAGGTAAGGGTGGAGGAGTCAGTCCTGACACGACCAAGGCTGCAAGAAAGCCCAGCAAGAAAAAGAGAATGGGAAAATCACCAGCCAGAGGCTTCAATAAGAGCAGAGCTTAGGAAACATGTGCAGGATGCAACAGGGCGGTACCTACAGCCTGGTGAGAGTAGTTTTGCTGGATTTGTCCCCCACCGTGGTGACGTGGGTATTGCACAAGGTGCCAAGGACAGAGCCTGGTGCTACTGGAGCAATGCCGATTTGCCAAGAGCTGTAGGGTTTGTTTGCAGGACCGCAGCACGTTACCTTGGAAAGAACTAGTGCAAAAAGCTTCTGTAGTGTTTGCAACATGCTTTGATGACTCCAAGAGCAAAGCCCAATACTTGCTTTTTCTTCCCAAGGTTCCTTTCAGCCATGCTGGAAGGAAAAGCTGGAATCCACAAGTTTGGTTTTGTTTTTATAAGAGCACTGTGCTTTCACAGTTTCAGAAATGATTAGAGAGCCCTGAGCGGGACTGCAGCCAGCTCCAATGCAAGATCCTGCACTGGCTCAAATCTTAAGAGCAGAAAACTTAAAAATCACCAGCGAAGACATTGCCTGAATTCCCAGCAGCTCCTCAGAATTAAAACATAAACAGACCAAAAGCTTTTTATTTCCTACAACATTTGATCAGTGGTTCCCACACGCCATTCATAAATGATGTACCCAACCCCTTCCCCATGGCAGCACAGCTTGGGCCCCCCCAACCCCAGGGGGAACACAAGGTGATTCTTCTTTTTTAAGTCAGAAGTTTGCTCAAATTGGGAAGGCTTTAAAAGGCAAACGCTTCTAGCTGTTAAATGAGCATGTGGGGAATGGAACTGTTGGAGCAAAAATCAGGAGGAAGAAAGCCAAAGGAGTTTGGAAATTACCATCCTATAAAGAGAGGAGGCCCTACAACCCCAGCTGTGTGACAAGGCTGGGGCAAGGTGGCAGCCCAAGGATGGCTTTGCCCTGAACCAGGATTCTCCCACATTAACACGTGTATGCTGAGCTGGTGACAGGCAGAGCTGCTGTCTTTACACACCTCATTACACACTGTGTATAAAAAGCCCACCCCCCCACTGCCACACTCACCCCATCACTGTTTCCCCAGGAGCCCAGGGCCCTTCCAGGGGTCAGTTAGGGATGGGCTGAGATGGCCCAGCTCTCGTGCTCGGTTTGACACAGACCCTCCGTGCTTTTTCCACTTGTATTTCATTGCTCCCCCACAGCCTTTTCCTCCCTCCCCAGTTAAAGGCTCCTCTTGCCCCTTTAGAAGAGAAAAGAGGAGGCCTGCAGTAGTTACTCCCTGTCTCTATCCCCCGTTTTCTACAGTTAGCTTGCAAATTTATTTTTTATTATTTTTTTTTGTCATGAACCACTGTGCAAAGCAGGAGCTATTTTCACATCCCAAGCTCTCACCTGGAAACTTGAGGGGAACAGGGCCAAGGCACCCATTTTGGGGTCAAGGTGGTGTTCTGGGCACCCACTGTTTCCCTGCAGGGTCTGACAAGGCACTTGCCCCACAGGCAGCTGGGCCTGCAGGGGCAGCACAGGCCCTTCCTCACCTGCAGGGAGTTCAGTCTCCCCTGGCAAGTTCCTGTTGCCACAGTTGCCAAAACTGTTTTTCATCAGTGTTGCCACACTGACCTTTCTGATTTCTGTCCTGAACTTTGATGGCCAGTCTGGGGAAAGAGAGGAACGTTACTTTTGCTCCAAAACAGGAAATGGCGTTCCCTGCCTTAAGCTGTCATCTACTTCATTCTTGTGATATCCAGCAAATACGAGAGGGGCAAGTGCCCAGAAAAAGCCTATTGCACACCTCAAAAATAATAATAATAAAAAAAAATCCCTGATTACTTTTACCCACCCACTTCCATCCCTCTTCTCCTCCCCATCTTGGCTAACCCTGGTATTTTATTGACCCAGAAAACAACACACAAGCCTCTTCCTCAAGTTTAATTCAAAGGTTTTTAGGGTACAGATTGTAGATCAAATTTACAGTAGGACTGCTAAAAAATTACAAATTCAAACTGTGTACCACATCCTCTACAGTTCTGCATTCAAAAGCAAGAAATCATGACACTCAAAAAGGCCTCTTGCTCCCTCAGGAGGCATCATCACTGCTTTTTGTTTTGGTTTTTTTTCACCTCTTTCCACTCTTCCCGTCCTGACTTTCTCGGGGGTTGCAGGGCCTAGACCAGGGAGCAGAGCACCGATGGTCGTCCTACTTCCTGACACATGGCACCGGCACACATCATCTCAGCTTCCCCCCCCCTGCCACAGCCGAGAATCCAAACTGCCTCTTTGTGCTCTGGCAGCCTCCTTCCCCATTGGGAGTTCCTGCTAGGAAAGGTGCCTTCAAAGCCAAGCACACACAACCCCAGCAGCCATCCTGGTCGTGCTCCTCAGCGTGACCCTTCTGGAGTTTGTTTCCCAGGGCTTAAAATTACAAGTCTGGGGAAATTTTCTTGCGCGCCAGGAAAGCAGAGTTGGGATGTTGCAGGGTGGTCTGCCTAAAAAAAGGAAAGGCCCTTTTAGTTTTCCGCTTCCCTTTGCCAGGACTTTCTCCAAAGAGTCACAAGGTGAAGTACAGGCTGCTGTGGGCAGCTGGAGGATACCCCAGGATCAGTCTGTGACCTCCTGTTTTATGCTGCTGATGGGAACAGGAAGCTCTGCGGCTCCAAACTCTGCTATCGAGGGGTCGATGGTTTCTTCTTTCACCTGCACGGCAATGACTGGCAAGAGACAGAAAGAGAGGGAAAAATAAGTAAAAATCAATGCATGCTGCCTTGATTTTTAACGCCCCAGGTTTCCAGCCCCCTCTTGAGGGTCCCTTACCACAGGCAGCCCTGTCTTGCTGGCACAAATCTATCTATGGTCACAGCAGCAATCAGGACAGCACTAAAGCCTGGCAGCACTCAGCTGCCTGCTCCCAAGAACAACTTCTCCTTGGGCTGAGGGAGGAAAAGCCAGTGTGGTCTATTTTCTGCCTGCCTGGAGGAAATTAAACCTTTGTGAGCAACGGAGCCCCATGTGCACAAAGCGCCTTACCCACCCTCCACCAACACCCATGAGGCTCGGCAGGTGACCCAGCTGACAGATGCTCTTCTGATCACCACATCTCTTGGTGCTCAGCAGGATGGGCTGTGTTCACATACTGTGACAGCCCTTATGGGGACTGGGATGCAACAGCACACTTTGACACGTCTGTCTTGGCTCTCCTCCCTAACTGACTTCATACAACCAGACTGCTCAGGATGGCAGCCAGGCCCTCAGGAGGCACCAACAGTACCAAGATATCCAGCTGTTCTGGTGCCACCAAACCTTCCTAGGAGGCAAACCTTCCCAGGGAAAGTAGGCAAAGGCTTTCTTCCACTCTCTCTGTCTCTGGAGGAGTGGTGAAGGACACTTGTCTTGTGCTGCCTTTCTGTGCCTGGGGACACCCATGACTTAAAGGGCCAAGAGGCAGCACAGGCCTCAGGAGGGCTGGTGGCATGCAGGCACATGTGAAGGAGCTGCATGTGGCTGCTGGGCAGAGTAACTCCCTTACTCTCATCAGGTGCTGGCTCTGGCAAAGCCTTGCTGGCAGCTTTTGCTTCTCGTTTCATCTTCGGGGCAGGCGGCTTCTTGACGGTCTGCTTGATGTTGCGGGCTTTGGCAGGTAACTTTTTTCCTTAACAAAGAGATAACAGAGCATGGGAAAAAAAAAGTGTTTCTTTTCTCCTTGAAAATATGCAACCCTGCTCCACTGAGAAACCACAGGCCAGGGACCAGCACAACTGACCAGCAAGCTACAAGGTCATTAGCTGCCAACTGGTTACATGACAGAAATGACCTACTGGAGAAAAGCTCTATCGTCATAATCTCAAAATACGCTCCTCCATGTTCTCCTTCATTAAAGGCAAGGCACTTCAGCTTAACTTCCGAGGAGCGGTCCTGTTGGAATCAGCCCGGAGTCAGCTTTGCTTACCTGTCTGGGTCTAGTCCTAGGCAATGGGCATGTTGGCTCCAAGGCACAGACACCGTAGCATTAATGTTTTCATTTTTAGCTGACGTTTTTATTTAGGTTGAAGGTCTTTATATTCTTTAGATGTCCTTTCCTCTCCACCCCCCAGAAAGGTATTTCTTGCCTGTCTACACGATTTGCCACAGCTACTGCAACAATGACAATAACAATGAGATGAAACAACAACATGGACCAGCCCCACTACTGGCCTCTTCAGCCATGTTAAGGCCTTCTTTCCCCGAGCACAAAGCAGGCAGGGCTGCTCTCCAGCTGCAGCAAACAAATCTCCCTCTGACCGTGGACACAGTGGGGAAAGCAGCACAACCTCATGCCTGGAAGCAAGCGCCATCTGTACCTCAGCCAACAGAAAACAGCCTGCAAAACAGATCCTTCCCACACACACAGCTCTCTGCTCTCTTAGGTAATGGCAGCAGTTAAGAAGGATGAAGCTGTGCTGTCAAACCCACAGCTGACTGAGGGCATCTGGAGCAAGACAAGGCCTCTCTCTCCTGCTCTGATGGGACATGGACAGGGTTTCTCTAACTGGGCCCAACCTGCGAGCGAGCGGGAGGGCACTAATCAAACATCACTCACTCTTCTTTCCATAGGGTTTCTTCTTCCTCTTGGGCATCTCCTTGGCCTTCACTGGAGTTGTGGGCTCTGTCATGGAGACGAGAGGGAAACGAAAGCCAAGTCCCATAACCAGGAGGTAACTGGGATGAAGTGACATGAGCGAGAAACAAGATATACCCGTCCCCCCGAGCCAACGCCCTCTTCCCGAGACAACCAGCTGAGGGGAAAGCAAGGCTCTAGCGCAGTTGCTGTCTGTGCTTCCAGGCCAGGGCCCAGGGTGGCAGGCTGGGGCAGCAGAGGGGAGAGAGGCCCAGTAGAGATTTGGCAGGGGCAGTAAAGAAACAAGATTCGTAGCTTTGGACAAGAAGGAAAACATCTGCAAAGGTGAGGCAGTGGCCTCCCTGCGACAAGGGAAGGAATAAATTCTTCAGAGGGATGCTCTTACCTTTTACAGACAGAGTCAGAGAATTGCTGAGAAAAGGGAGCAGGGCTGAGCTCCCCCTGCTACCTGGCTGAGGTTGTAGGTACACCCCGTAAAAGGGAGCTGTGCAGGGACAGGACAACCTGGAACTCTACCTGACTTCATCAGGAGCAGTTCTCTGTTGGTATGCAGGTGGGGGACCAAAGGGAAAACAGAGCCAACCTCAAATCTCAGGCTGTTTTCTCCCTACCACAGACTCCTCCCTCTGCCAGCTGCTGGAATGTGTGGCAGCAGAGGACAGCTAACGGTAGCCGGCACAAGTCAATGAGGCAATTTTCTTTTCCTTGCTACAAGGCCCCAAAAGGAGGAGCCACTCAGAGAGCAGGAGGAAGGAAACCTTTGCCTCTAGCATTAGAAACCACAGTCAAATATTCACTCACCTGGAACAACAGGCGGTTGAAGCTGGTAGCCTGTCAGCTCGCACCACCCCACAGGATAAATGTCTGGAGACTCACAGTCCACCCACTGGTCATACTCATTGTCCCAGCCATCAAAATGGATGCTAAGGAGACGGTGGACTACACGCTTCACTGTGGCTACGCAGATGAGCCGGGGCTCCATCAGGTCCACTGCTTCCACCTTCATGCCTGCCTTGAAGCCATGGTTTGGGCAGTCCTGCGTGCAGAAAAAATGAAAAAAGAAAACCCAAGGCCATTGCACCCAGTCCAAACCCACAGCCACGCAACAGAACCAACCAGTAGCGTAACAGAACGGGGCACATGTCAAGAGATCCAGGGCTGGCTGTGTCCTTAGTGAAACTCAGCCCAGCCTTTAGAAACAAGATCCTGACACAGGGGGAACAGCAGATGAGGGACACCCATTAACATGAGACAGCCCTGGGAAATGACAAAGATGGGCACAAGCCCAGGTGCTGCAGCAGTTTTGCTGATGCAAAGCAGACCCCCTCCACTCAAGTGCGCATCGCATGTCCACAGACAATAAGCTGTGCAGAACCCAGCAGCAGCCTGGAGCTCTTGGAAACACTAGAGAAACACTCAGAGGGACCACAAAGGCACGTGGACACTGCCTGTCCCAACCAGCCAAACAGGAGCTTCACCTGGAGAGCACACACTTCTGTGCCTTGGGCTCTCCTCAGAAGTGCTGACTGGCAGCAAAGAGCAGCCCAGTAGAGACATTGGATAGTGTCTACCCTGACTTCAGGAAGGCTTTTGGCATTGCCTCCTGTAAAGATCCTCACAGAGAAGCTGAGGGAAGTATGGGCTGGATGAGGAGACAGTGAGGTGGACTGAAAACTGGCTGAGTGGCTGGGCCCAGAGGATGGTGATTAGTGGCAAGTCTAGTTGGAGGCCAGTAATTAGTGATGTACCTCAGGGGTCAATACCGGGTCCAATCCTGTTCAGTATCTTCATTAATTATCTAGATGACAGGACAGAGTGTCATGTCAAACTCAGCAAGTTTGCTGATGATACAGAACAGGAAGGAGAGACTGATATACTGGAGGGTTGTGCTGCCATCCAGAGGGATCTTGACAAGCTGGAGAAATGGTCTGACAGGAACCTCATGCAGTTCAACGAAAGGAAACGTAAAGTCCTGCACCTGGGGAGGAACAACGCCAGGCACCAGCACATGCTGGGGGCCAAGTGGCTGGAAAGCGGCTGGGCAGAAGAGGGCTGGGGGGTCCTGGTGGACACCAAGTTGAACATAAGCCAGCAATGTGCCCTTAGGACAAAGAAGACTAATGGTATCCTGGGCTGCATTAGGAGGAAAGTTCCCAGCAGGTCAAGAGAGTTGATCCTTCCCCTCTACTCAGCACTGGTGAGGCCACACCTGGAGTGCTGTGCCCAGTTCTGGGCTCCCCAGTACAAGAGACATGGAAGCACCTAAGAGTCCAGTGAAGGACCATAAAGATGATGAAAGGACTGGAGCATCTCTCCTATGAGGAAAGGCTGATAGAGCTGGGACTGTTCAGCCTGGAGAAGGCTCAGGGAGATCCTATCAATGTGTATAAAAGCCTGAAGGGAGGGTGCAAAGGTGGTGCCAGGCTCTTCTCGGTGGTGCCCAGGGACAGGACCAGAGGCAGCGGGCACAAAGTGAAACACAGGAGGTTCCCTTTGAACATCAGGAAACACTTTTTACTGTGAGGGTGACTGAGCACTGGCACAGAGTGCCCAGAGAGGTTGGAGTCTCTATCCTTGGAGATACTCAAAAGCCATCTGGACATAGTCCTGGGCAACCTGCTATAGGTGACCCTGCTTGAGCAGGGGCATTAGAATCATAGAATGGTTAGAGTTGGTAGGGACCTTAAAGATCATCTAGTTCCAACCCCCCTGCCATGAGCAGGGACACCTTCCCCTAGACCAGGATAGAATCATAGAATGTTGGACAAGATGACTTCCAAAGGCCCCTTCCACCTCAACAATTCTGTGAGAGTCAGAGCTCTTGTGCTCCTCCTTGCTGACTGCAAGCATCCCTACACATCTCTTTCTGGCAGCACTCACTGTGTTGAAGAGCCGTGCTGGAACAGGTCTTGATTTAGTCGTTTCCAGGTAACTTTCCCAGTTGAAGGTCTTTGCATCTTGTCCTGCAACAGGAAGAAAAGGTCAGTGGGAAAAAGGCAGTCACTGGGGAGATAAGCTGAAGGAAAAGGCAGAATAGGCTGGAAGGAGGCAGAGCAACTGCTTGCAAAGCAGTTTCATTAACCAGCACATACAGTCTGATCTTGGACGCAAGTCTAGTGCACAGATTCCATGGCAGTCCAGCACCCACCTCCCGTGGGCAAATAGGGAAAAGCGCGAGCTGCAGCTCTGAACACCTGTGTCAGTCCATATCCAGACCACAGAGAAAGGTGAGGAGAAGCAGCAGGCAGAAAGAAGTACGTGCAAAACACACTACTAAGACCAATCTTTCTCCATCAGGAGAAAGAAGGAACATCTCCAGCAGGACCATCAAAGAAGACAGAATAGCACTGCACAAAAGTGCTGCAACACAGAAATTTCGAGCAGGCCGTTTTGAGTACGACCAGATGAGGCAGTAAAAACACTGCTAGGGGGATTGCCTCTCAGGATTTTGCAGAAATACCCGTCTCAGATTCATTCATACAAGAATAGAGGTGACTCCTGCCACTTTTAAGTACCCAGTCATGCAGCAATGGCTCTACTTGTCCCTTCCCACCCTCCTTGTTCTTTAAACCTTTGATTCTGTTCAGTTTGGGGATCATACACCTTTCCCACTGATCCACCAGGAGCCAACTACCATGCCATTAACGCCCTCTGGAGATGTTACATCCTTCCAAAAAGTACCAAGACTTGGTATATGGGCAGAGCTGAAATGGACTGGCTCTCTGAACCAGCCCTATCTCCCTGAAAAACAGGCAGATGGGGACCTCGTGGTTTTGATTCATCTGAACCTGACACCTCTCCGAAAAGCACAGCCCAGCAGGTCTGCATGCAGGTTTATACCACAGGGCAGAGTTCAGACCTCACCTTTTGGAGGGGTCAGATCAATGCTGTTCTTCTGACAGAAGTTGACAGGGAAGATGGCGTGTGAGGAGGCATGATAGCAGAACCAGTCAGAGCCATCGGCAGATGTGGCTCCATCAATGCTGATCATGAGATACCCATCCAAGAGGACCTGAGATTGGAGCGAAGGGCATAAGTGTAGAGCTTTGCTTGCTCTAAAGCCTCTCGTCTCAAAGGATCCTCCCAAGACTCCCTACAGATGGATCACAATTGGCACTCCCAAGAACTGGAGAACAAATCTTCCCTACTGCATGCCCAAGGGTAAGGGAAAGGTGTCTGAGTCACACACACTGGACAGTTAGCTTGCAGACCAAGCATGCTCATATTCATGGGGTGCACTTAGGCACACATGGACAACTGCTGGTCTCATCAGCTTCTCAGATCTCTGAGGTAACACCCCAATTCCCTCCACACACCAGCTGCCTATCTTTCTTGACAGCCCTCTCCTCTACCTCATGCAAAATTCTACGTGCCCTTATTCATCTGCAAAGACCTAAGGAGAGGTTGGGTTATCTCAGGTAAACACAGTAGATCCCCTTCTGCCCACTGAACTTACCTTGCAAACAGTGGCCACACAAATGTTGCCCAGATTCAGGGGGTCAATGGCCTCCAGTTTCATGCCTTCCTCGAACCATCCACCTTCAGCATAGACAGCTCGTACCTAAGGGAGACTCTGGTATACCATGTGCTGCCAAGGGTATGGGACAATCCCACCCCGACACCAACGAGGCCGAATGCAAACAGGATTAGAGCTTCTTTACTTGTCTCAACCCAAGTTGGGAGGGGCAAGAAGAAAAATTACAAGAAATACAAAGAGCCAGCCAAACCAACAGTGTTTGTGTCAGCAATCTCCTGCCAAGGATCTGGTCAGTTGGAGAGCCAAGCCCAGCACTCAGCCACCGCTTCACAGCAAAGCAAGCCTCCTTCTCATCTCTGTCCTTACCAGCATGATCCAGCTCCTTGGCTGAACTAGTCCCTCCCATGCCATCACCTTCCCTCTCCAACTCAAAGTTCCAAGCAACTGCTCTTCCTTCCATTGTATCCCTCAATCTGTCATTGCCTTTTAGTTCTTCCATCTTTCCATTTTGATCTGCCCCTGCCCAAGCACAGCCTTGACACCCCAAACACCTGACTGCCCTGTAGCTGAGCCGTCCTCAACAACCCACACAGCAAGGCAGACGTGTCCTACCTTCCTAAACAGATAGGGGACAGCATCACAGTAAATCTTCCGGAAGGTGGGATGGTTTGCCATGTCACTGCGTTTTTCTTCTGGGAGGAATGGAAGAAACAAAGAGAGGTAAGAAAACTGCAGCAACTGCAGCAAGAAAACACACTGGCTATTAATTATCTGGTGAGAACTCAGAAGCTATAAAAAAGCTAGATCAGAGACCATGAAAAGAGTAATAAAGAAAAACTAGGTCAGTCCCTCTACACCTTCCCATAACATGGGCTGTCACGTAGGGCTTGCTCAAAGCAGATGGATGATCTTCCTGAGCACTAGTGATGACACCTCTACATGCAACTGTAATCACCAGGGAGAGGCAGCAAGGAAGGGAGATGTAACCAAAAGGATCAGTAGGGTTCAAGTCTTGATTTTTCTGCCAGTCTAAGCTGATCAAGAATTCCTCTTGATCAGAGGAAAAGCCCAGAAAAAACGGAACCTGATGGCATCCAGTTTTACAGAAGCCAGCATGAATTTCCTCAAAAAGACTATAAACATCTGTGATGATGCAGACTCTGCATTCTCACGCTGTGGGGACAGATGACCTGTTTCAGGTAAGAAACCCTACAGTCCCCCTGTCCTGACCTGTGGCAGATCACTGGGCTTTTATGCACCCAGGGGAAAAAGCAGCAGACACACGACTGCATAGACCTTATCTGTCAGGTCTTGAGGCAGCTCCCTGGCTTCCAGCATGTCAAGACTGGTGTCAGCAGCAGGGCCCAGGCATCTCATAGCAAATCAGAAGATGCTTGTGGTGGTCTGATCCCTACCTGTCTTCTTCATGCTGTGGCCCACTCTCCGTGACCAGCCCACAGGATGGATGAGGGGACTCCACATGTGGCACCAGAAGTCATCATCACTGTCGCCATCCTCATAGAGGAGTCTCAGTCTGCCCCCAATCACCGTGTCCACCACTGCCATGCGCGTCCGGGAAACGTGGTTTTTATCCACCACCTCCACTCGCATGCCCTGCCGGAACGGGTACTTCATGCTCTCCGCCATCTGGCAACGACCAACAGAGGAGGTAAGAACAATTGCACTTGGTGTTTTCCTTCCCCAAACACTTCAGAGAACAGCCTTCCCCACAGACACCCTAGCCAACACCCTGCACTGCCCAGAGCTGAATGGGAGACACTTCTGGGAGGTGGGTTCACCAGGGGGACAGGGAGCTGCCAGCCCCACACATGACAGCACAGTTGGGCATATGAACCCTAAGTGCCTCCTGTCCTGTGGCCTCGTAACAGCTACCCTCACCCTGGCCCAGCAGCCAAGCACAGCCAGCACCTCGTGTGAATCTTCTGAGCATAAGAAACAGATGTCACTTCTGTTTTTTTTTAGCAGGAGCTGAGTGGGGAACTGCGTGCCTTTTTCAGCCATTAAAGAGACCACAAGGGTTTCAATGCTGAAAGCAGCCAGAAGTGTAGCTTCCCAAAGGGTAAGAGGATTCTCAGCTGACTTTAAAGGAGATCAGGCCCTTAGTTTATCTTTTTCACTCTGAGCAGAGGTTGAGCAACACGGTGATTATCTGCCAACTCCACCTCTGATGGCAGAGTTACTCTGCAGTGACCTAAAGGCACAGAGAAAGAACTGCCTTTTTGAGACGTCCAGTTTGCTGATAGAGCCTAGCCCTACACGTCCACAAATTCCCAAAAGTGTTTAAGAAAACCACGTGACATTTTGGCACTGTGATCCCAGAATGCTGTGCAGCAACTAAGAGCAACAGTTCAAAACAGACTCAGACACCCAAAATGACCTACCCCTGAATCCAGAACAACTTTGAAGGGAAGGTCTCCCCCTTCCACCTCCTGTTCATTAGGCGGGAGTTGGGATGCTGGGAAGAGAAAGATACTGACAACATCTGTCTCCCTTTACCATGGTGTGAGCTGTTAGCTACAAGCTGTGGCCCAGGAACAAGCAGCTACGAACATCCTCTCACCTTTCTGAGAAGCAACAGGGGAAACACCAACTAGGTCAAGGTCTCCAGCTCAGCGTTACCAATTACCTCACACATTAGAAAATCCATCACCTGCGTTCCTGCCTGCTGTCTCTGGGACCATCTTCCTTATCTGTGGTTTACAAAGTTGCCAGGGACAAAAGCCTCTTCTCCCCAACAAGGTCTAACCTCAGTGCAGGCTACACAAAGCAACCACAAGAGCTACAAAGCTGGCAAGGCCATGGCACAGCTGCTTCACGCATTTTGAGGGAGCCTGCGTCCCTCTCGCTCCCCACAGGCTGCTGTGCTACCAACACTGAAGGCAAAGGCTTCTGACTCTCAGAGCCATTCCCCAGCACTGAAACAGGGCAGGGAAAGCCCAGGCTGGAGCTGCACTGCCCTCTCCCTGCAGCAAAAACTCATCCTCAAATCTTCCAGCAGAGCCTGACACGACAACAGCTTTTAAAGACCCAAAGGAGAAGCGGTTGTGCTGACCACAGGGGCTGTGCCATTACCTACAGGACGATGACAGATGTCTCGCTGCCCCTGCCCTGCCCAAGTTTCAAGGGCACACATAGAGGAGTTGCACAGATCAGAACGAGAAGAGACATGCTGCACACACATCTCTCGGCTTCGGCTTCATTTCCACACACAAAGTGACAGCCTCCCACATTTACCTTGATGTGGAAATCCACTGGGATGGTCCTGGCTCCCACCAGTTTCTTCATGAGGTAACTTCTCCAGTCAGTGTACTTGGCGTGGATAGCTACGTACACACAGGGAAAAAGCACATCTTTATGACTTAAGGAATCAGAGCACCACACTACATCTTTCTTCCTCTCTGAGAGTCCATCTGCATTAAAATGTCTTCTTCACATTCAGGTCCAATACTTGCTCTCAAGCAGACCCTGTTCCGCAAGCTCGCCCTCACGGCTGCCTGCAAGGGATCACCAGTACAGAACAGACTGGGCCAAGCAGACACCCAACTCCACCAATCTGGCTGCAGAAGTGGTACTAGAGCAAAAGCACATGAGCCAAACCAAGCAAACCTCAGCTTGCCAGCATTCTGCTAAACTGGCATTCCTCTACAAACTGCTAGCTGAGCAGGGGGTGGATCCAGCGCACTCCCCAGAGACACTGTCCAGGGGGTAGGACAAAAAAGTTCCCCCAAAGGTTAAGTATAGCCACCACGTGGGTCAGAATGAGGAATGGCCACCTGCATCAGCCTCCGTCTGTAGGTCTGACACCAGCTCTGCATCCAGCACCCCTAGGGTCAACCACAGGGAGATGCAGAGAGTCCAAGCAGTCTCCAGCTTCCCAAAGAACTAACTGTTCCTTGTAACACAGAGCACAAATGGAACTGGGGTCCCACATACCGTGGGGGCACCTGTCCCCACTGCACTAGGCATAAACCAAGGCTCCTCCATGCCCAGGCACATGCTGAACCCTCCCGCCCCACACTCACTTTGTGGTGGTACCAGGATTTTGCTGTTGATGGCACACCAGCCAATGGGGTGAATATCCACCATGCCCAAATTGCACCAGAAGTCGTGGCTGGCGTCATTTTCGAAGCCCTCGTATCGTAGAAGGGCCCTGTACCCTGCCAGGACAGAGCAGACAAACAGAGAAAGGCATTAGAAGCCAAGAATTTCTCCTCTCCCTCTTGGGCACCACAGGCTTATTCCATACAGCATGGCCTTCAGAGCTCTGCATTGGTTATCAGAGCTTCTCCAACCATTCTGGAGGCAGAACCGCCCTCGCAAAGAGCCCAGCAACCAGAACAGGAACCAGATGCTGTTTCCTCCCACCCCCACACCATGGTATTTCCTGTTCCAAAATCTCTCAGTAATTGCAGAGCTCCTAAGAGCTGCTGTTTTGCTTGAGCAGATACACTCAACTCTTCAAAGCCCCCCTCAGAGATTAGCCATCCCCAGCTGTCAGGAACTACATGGGAGACATACCTACAGTATGGATGACAGAGGCAATCCAGTACACGCGGCTGGGGAGCACGGCGTCACTGTTCAGCACTTCCACTTTCATACCTTTCACCACATCATCCCACTGATCGAAGAGAGGCACCTGAAGGATTGAGGCAGCCACATTGGGAGAGGGACACTGACAGTCAGAGCAGGGCTCAGGCCCTCACTCTGGCTTTCAGAGCCATGTTTTAGGAAGCTACACTTTCTTCTTAGGCCCAGGTTTGCAAGCCTTACCCTTCCCGTATCTGCCAACGGCTTGAAATGCAATTGAACTGTCCCAAATATCTCACTGGGGTGTTCACAGAGGATCCCAAAAGGCTGAACACTGTAAAGCAACACTGAACTATTTCACTGCCCGCTGTCCTACTATCCCAAAGTAGCTGCTGCCATTCCTCTATGGTATCAAAATCCCTAACCATCAAACTGCCATGTCTTCCTGACTGATCCTCAAGAAAAACACAATTTTGTTAGTATTTTCAGAGATCACAACTCAAAAGCAACATCACAAGTGAGTCTTAATACACAGAGAGGCTGGGGCTGCTATAATACCCAAGAACTGCCATTCCTCCATGGATCTGCCTTGGCTACTTGGCCCACAAGGACTGCAAATCAGCATGCTAGGAACCAGACGTGCTGAAGGACAGTTACTGCCAGGCCCACATCAGCAGAGTTCCTCCCTGCACATCACCCTGGTACGTGCTCACTCACACAGACTGCAACGGCAACCAGGAGTTTTCTGCTAACCCCCCCAGTCAGAACTGATTCTGTCCCAAGCCAGCCAGCACTAAGCCATCACCACCGGCAGTACTTCTACCAAGTTCCCCTCTGCTTCCTCCCCCAAAACTCCTGGTCCCTCTGAGGGACTCCCAGTCTTAGCTCTGAGAAGCCCAAACTTCTTTCTTTGCATCAGCTGGGGCTCAATAACCAGCTCCCCAGGTCTCTCCTCACCACCTGTCACAGGAGTATAGGGGATCCCCATGCATATGGCATGGCCCATGCACACTGGGAGGCACAGCAAAGAACTACTCACGTGTTTGAAGCAGCTGACAGGAGCTGCCTTGAAGCCATGCTCCTGCAGGTACTTTCCCCAGTCAAAGCCCAGGACGAGTGCTATAAGCAGACATGAGAGAAAAAAAATCAGGTGAGATTATAGGATAGGTACAGAGTGCTCAGCTACCTCTGGACTACAGCTTGCAGCCACACTGTGGCCTGCTCTGGGACAGAGCACTCTGCCCCAGCACAGAAGGACTCTGCATTTTCCGTGGTGGGGAACTAGATCCCATGAGTGCACAGGGACCAGTCCCCACAAGAGGCACAATATATTATTAATCAATTCTTGCTGACACCTGCTTTTGGGGAAGGAGGGGCAGCAAGGACAAAAAAAAGGGGTCAAATCCAGCTCAGGGCTGAGTGGCAACTGCATCATGTCATCACTAAACCACTTTGTAGCTTTGCCGCTCAGCAGCAACCCTGCAGGGACACATAAGCAGCGCTTGTTTCCCCAGAGGGTGCTGGGAAAATCAGAGTGGAGCAGTGAGATATTAATCCCACAGTCACTCCTGATCCAAGGCTACAGCTCTGCTCCAGTAGCAGTCTGCTGAGGGATCAATCCCTGCTGCCACCCCCTGGGGCTCACTTTTGCCCGAACACAACAGCTCACTACTCCTTCAGCTGCAGTGCCTGGCTGTTCCCCAAGCTGATCAGTGAATAACTCGGCTTAAATACAACTCCCCCCGGGCAGTGGGGCAGCGAATGGCTGGGAGCAGCAGGGGGCCTTTAAGTCAGCTTTGCTAGTACCCTGTGGGACTGTGACTAAAGAGCTTTGCGCTTCAGTCCGAGTCGCACGAGGAGCGAGGATGAGGCTGCAACAGGGGATGGACAGGAACCCACCAGGGCTCCATTAGCACTGGCAGGGAGAGGGAGAGAGACACCCCCGGTGTCCTGCCAGTGCTGGAGCAATCCACACACATTGTTTCAGTACAAGGCAGTGCCCCAGAGGGGAGGAAGAATAGACTGTAGAGCTTACAGCTCTCCAGGTGTCCCTATTTCTGTGGCTTCAGTAGCTGCATCTCCTCACACCTCCTACACCCACCATCCTGGCCTGTCAGCGTCCCATCTGCCAGCTGCCCTGTGCCCTGCGAATGGAGGAAGGCCCCGATCTTGGCTGACCAGGCTGCCTTGTGCAGGACTTTAGCTTTCTTTGTTGGTGGCTTCCCCTACAAAAGAAGGAACATTAGGAACATTAGTGGCACAGGAGAGAAAGCCAGTCCCTGTAACTGGCCAGAAGGGCATGCATCTCTTCCTTGGGACAATTTTCACATTGCTACAATTGTTACTAATGCTCACAAGAAAAAGAAGAAACAGCAGGTAAAACATCACTATGTCCTGCCCCAGCTTCTAGGGAGCACCACCTTTCAGCTGGCATGTGTTCTCTGAGGACTTCTGGCAGGAAGAACAAGGCACTGGTAATGGCACTCTGATCTTTAACTGGACAGCAAACACCCACCCCAGTGTATAGGCACTTCCTGCTCCATTCCCAGGGAAGAAGGAAGAGGTTTGACTCACCTGCAATCTGGCCAGGATGCTGGCCTTCTTGGAGTTTGAGGAGTAGCTTCTGGAGCAGGAGACGCTGCAGAAACGTTTGGTCTTGGAGAAGAAAGCCTCCCTGGTGCCCACAATCCCACACATCTCGCACACAGCTGAGAGAAAGAAGGCACAAAAACATGAGCAGTTGGCAGGACTGGTACACTACACGGACAGATCTGAGCCCAGGGAACCCTCATCACACACACACCCAGCTCCCCCAGGTAGCCCAGAAAATGCAGTGTCAATCCAGTGCTGCCCCAAAGGATACTCCAGACGCAGTCCCTTGGGTTTCCCTGAGCTCTCGTTCTCTCCATCACACACCTGCTTTAGGTAGAACAGGCAGGCAGGGTAGTACCTGGTTCAGACCCACTGTCCTCTGCGAGCCGGCCTGTGGACAGCTGGTGCACAGGAGAGGTTGGAACCTCTCCCGCTTCCCGATCGGCCACCTCATCGTCACTGGACTCATCCAGACAGGAGCTGCTGTCACTGCCCATGCTGCTGTTGTAGCCCCGGAAGCTGTCATAACCCCCAAAGATGTCCAGTTCATCATCCTCCTCATCGTCATTGCCTTCCTCCTCCATCCGCTCCAAAGATGAAGTCTTGTGGCAGAGCGTAGACACCAACTGAAAAAAGAGCCAATCTGCTTCAAAACAGACATTTTACACCACACCCCACAATAAAACTGCCTTCAATAACGGGGATCTCCTAGACCAGGGAGAGGCCTGCAGGAGGGCAATGAGTCTGAGTAACAACCCTAAAGGCAGGGGTGTGAATCCCTAAGCAGCGAAGACATTACCCCACAACAGGTCCCTTTACAGGTGTTTCACAGGCTGCATTCTGCTTACCAAGAGCAAACAAACAGCCACAGAGCTGCAGCTACATGGAAAAAGGTCTGTGGAACAAGGATTGAATCCAGGGAACTACACTGCCATGATGATGAAGACAGAGAAGACTGTGTCCTTCCAGGCACTGTCTCTCCCAACAACTGCACAATAGGGCAGACACCATCAATATTGAAGTCACTGCAAACTTGAGAGCAGAGCGCAGAGCTGCACGCTCTGGCCACCATAGCTCACAAGACCAGTACAGCCTGGAAATCAGGAGGACAAACTTGACTCTGGAGAAGGTTCATGTTCTTTGGAAACTGTGTAGTCCACAGCTGACCTCAGTTCAGAAGCTGCATCAGCAGGATGACAAAACGTTTGTTGAGAGGTTTTTTTTGCCTAAGACCAGATGTGCCCGCAACTAAACATCTTCACCTGCTCTTTGTACTTGCTGTTACAGCAAGACAGCGGAGAGGCAGTGACTGAAGAAAGAGCACAGAAATCCAGTGGCTGCTTCTCAGACTAGAAGAATCTCAAACCAGGCTCCGAGTAAGCGATAAGGTGCTGTGAAAGGGTGTTAGCAACTCATGAAAAAGCAGCAAGGAGTCAGCGTCAGCACAGGGAGTGATGGAACAGAAAGGTAGATTGGAACAGCCCTACAGGATACAACTGGCCATCAGAGCGGGCAACAACAAAAGATCAGCAGCAAGTCCATCACCTTCCAATGCTGAATTCCCTCCAGTCCCTGGCCCCTGGGTATTATTATTATAGACACATGAACAGGAAGATCAGAGTTCACTCACTGCTGTCTCCCCACATCCTCCCCGGCTTTTATACAAAACAGATCCAAGGTACCCAGGTTGTTCCCTGAAGACAGGGGTTGCTCTCCTGCAGGTCCGCATCCTCAGACAGCATTCCTGATGTCTGAAAGGCCTGAACTCCTCAAAAAAGCACATTCATCTATTTCTCGCCCGTTTCTGGGGGTTCACCTTCCTTCAGCTTAAGGAAGCATCTGCAGACCGCTTCTCTTCCACCAAACACGAATGAAACATGCGGACATGTTACAAGTTCCCAGAGCTGACAAGCGAGGACAGCACCACCGGTAACCTCCTCAGAGAAGCCAGCGGGACGCAGAGGCCAATCCCACCCCATCCCGTCCGGGTCGGACACATCATCCCTGCCAGCTCCGGCACCGGCCCGGCCCC